AGTCATTATTACACTCTTTGGTGGTAAGAGTAAAAAAACAACACTTACTGGGAAAGATTTAATGGACCAGACAATTTCACTGTTCTCTGGAACCCATTTGACACTTCCAACAGTGGTTTTAAACTTTGGCGAGTCTGCATCATTTGGAACTGGGATGTGAATCTCCACATTGTTGGCAGTTGATCTACGCTTAAATTGACTTTTTGCCTAAAACAATCAAGCAGAAAAGCAGAGTTTAAATATTTCCATGATGCTGGTGAGCTCAGAGAGCTGAGGGACACCCAGCTCCCCTCCACCCCAACCTGTATGCTGAGAACCAGAACTGGAACTGAGATCATAACTGACAAATGAAGTCTTCAGAGGTGTCTAAGTCCCACAGAAATGCTGAATACTTGTACAAAAATGTACAAGCTTTGAAAACAAACAAAAGAAGACTAAAATGAGCCATAATTATTTAAGGATGTCTGACCTTGATCATGTACTCGATGCGGCTGTGGGAATGTTTCTCAATCACAGATTCAATCCAGATCAGGGGCTTTACCTGGAGGTGGAAAAAAACAGCACAGCTCTGAGATTTAAAATGTTGCTTTCCCTTAAAGCTACACTCAGTATGTGAACCACACAGAAAATGCAGCCTGGGGTATTCAAAATGACAGAATTGTGGTTTTTAAGAAATAATTATACAAATGAGCAAGCACTGATGTATCAATGAGCAAATGTACAAGGATTATAGGTTTAAAATGTATGTCTCAGATTAATCCCTAATAACAAACAATTGCATCAGAAAATATTTTATAGTTTTATAAAATATTTTTATAAATATTTTATAAATATTTATAAATATATAAATATTTATATTTATATAAATATTTATATTTATATAAATATTTAAATGGGGACTGAACTATTTCTTTGCTATAGACCTTCTCTAGATTGAATTTTTTTGACTTTTCTTTATCACCATGGCTGGCATACTCCAATAAAACTAAGTGCCATAAATACTGTTGTTAACAAGCACAATTAATTGTTATATTGATATTATGTAGTTAGATTAAAAACATAGTATCTCAAAAACAGTTTCAACAGCAGCTGAAAATACAGAGATTTATTGCTAAGTGAAATCTAAACTTCCTTCTTCCTCCAGAAGGAGTGAGCACCAAGTTTTGCTATTAACAGTTGACTCAAAACCCCATGGTTTAGGAGAAAAAAAAAGAAGGGAAAGCTGTTGTGGCTACCATCTAAACCATTCTCATTTTAAACAGGCAGAGATCCAGACTCACGTGGGTGTTGAGGCGATAGGACATGAGCTCAAACTCCCCATCGGGGGGGATGAACGAGATTGTCCGGTCGTTCTCGAAGCGAGAGAGACGAACGCACTGGTGGAACTTCACATCTTCCAGTTCTACTGATTTACTCTTCCCACCTAGCAGAAAACACACAGGTCACACAAACCATGGCTCAAATCTCAGCAGAGCACAGCTGCTGCCTGCTGACATTCTTTCCTTTTAGCCAATTTCTAGGATCAGGGCAGTGCTGGGCACTGCTGAGGTTCCTCAAACCCTGAGATCAGTTTTGGACCCCTCAAAACAAGGATGGCATTGAGGGGCTGGAGTGTGTCCAGAAAAGGAAACGGAGCTGGGGAAGGGGCTGGAGCACAAGGAGCAGCTGAGGGAGCTGGGGGGACTCAGCCTGGAGCAAAGGAGGTTCATGGAGCCTTCTCACTTTCCACAACTCCCTGACAGGAGGATGGAGCCAGGTGGGGTCAGGCTCTGCTCCCAGGCAACACAGAACAGCACAAGAGGAAATGGCCTCAAGCTGTGCCACTGGAGGTTTAGGTTGTATTTTAGGAAATTTTTTTCACTGAAAGGATGGCCATGCCTTGGCACAGGCTGCCCAGGGCACTGGTGGGGTCACCAGCCCTGGAAGTGTTCAAATCCCTGGGGACATGGCTTAGTGCTGAACACTAACAGTGGTGCTGCTCAGCAGTTGGACCTTGTGATTTCAGAGGGCTTTTCCAACCTCCAAGATTCTGTGATCCCAAACCTCAAGACTCCAGCCAGAACCTGATGATGGTGATGATAACACTCACGGCCTGTGTTATCAAAGAGAACTTTGTCATTCAGCCCAAGGCGCAGCTCTGGCATTCCTGACAGGAAAACTCTCATTTTAATGGATCCAACGATCTCACTCCGCAGCACGTTCCCGTTGGCACTGACCTGAACAAAGATGAAGAGGAAGGTGAGACATCTCTGATGGGGGATCTTGTGACCTCTCCCACCCCATCCCCATGCCCTGGGATTTCCTGGATGTGTTTCTTATGAGGAATTAATCCAGTAGAGTGAATTAAATCAGTGATGTGAAGCAGCACAGACAGAGGATCAAAGGACACATCAAAAATCAGCAATACACACAATTAAAGCATTATTTGTACTGGATTTCCTTGGGGGAACTTAATTGCTTTGAGTGCCACAGCACACCATCCATAATCAGATTTTCTATTGCAGGTTTTTGTACAAAAAGCCCTTTCTAACACTTCTTACTACAATTCTCACACAAAAGTTAAACTGCAAAGTACCCACCAAAAGGTTAACTGACTCTATGACATCCAGGAACACCTCATTTTTCCTGTATTTTATCCCTTCTGATCTCCATGAAACAGCATTTGTAACAGTGGCAGGCGGGCGTGGGGCTCCAGTTTCAAGTTTGTGGCCTTCCTGAGTGATGTACCTTCACAATCCCAAAAAATTGGCATGGAAAAAGAAAAGAAAATTAATATTTTTGATCATTAGAACACATTGAAACATTTGTTTGCTATGAAAAAAGAGTCAAAACACTCCTTTGTTACTGTTGAGTGATACTTACTCTTGTAAAATTTTACTATCAGTGGTTTGTGGATAACCAAAATCCATAAGCTCATCTAACAACTCATAAATAATAACAAAATTATCCCTAATGCTCTCTTCTTCCAACTCCTTGAAATATTCAGAAAAAACCTGAAATGCAACAAGAGGAGGGAGAGGGAGAAGAAGGACATTAAATGAGGCAGCACAGCACATGCAGATGACCTTTCTTAAGAAGAAAATAATAATCTAAAACATCTAAAATAATAATCTAAAACATCTAAAATAATAATCTTGTAAAGTTCCAACCCCATACTGTCCAAAGAGCATTTTGCTCAGATCAGCCCCAGGAAAAAACCACAATTAAAACACATACAGAGAATTCTAGAAGAAACTTATTATGAAAAATATTTATTCTGGAGAAAATATTTTTCTCAGCATGTACAGATGAACCAAATACAGATTCTGTGTTTGGTTCATGCACCAATTCACAATCTCCTCCAGGTGCTCAGCTCTTGTGCAATTATTACAGCACCTGCCCCATCCTCTGCCTACACAGCTACAAAATATCTGTGTCCTTATCAGATAGTTCTACAAAACAATCAAATATAAAATAAAAATGCTATTACTGAAGTTCTTAAAAAATGTGAAAGCTCTATGCACTTCTATTTAGACAGAACACAAAGGTTGCTTTTGAAATATACTCACCTGAACTACTTTATATAAAAATGAAAACACCAGTGATACACAAGCATTTTTCTTGGAAGTTGCAACAACTGATGAAAGATGTTCAGGAATGTGCATTTTAAAAAAAGTTTATTAAGTGCATTTTAAAAAGCCTAATTTAAGGCAAATAGAGTTGCCTAGAGGAATTATGCTTTAACTACTTAATAGAAGATACGATCTAAGGAGATATGAAGATAAACATTCAGGAAGTCATTAATTAGAGTAAAATTAAAACACTTTTCTGGACCTTTTGCTGCTGGTGCATATTACACTATGTAAAGCACAAAAAGCCCTTATTAATATAACCAACTTTACGGAATATAGGCTTTTTATACCACTTCACCCATTCTACAACTTGCATTTTGACATTAAAAAACCAAATTAGCAGTCTCTGGTATGGTCAGCACATGTGCAGCACAAAGGATACGATACAGGTTGTTGTGTTTAATCCACATGAAACGAACTCCCCCATGTGCTAGGATAGGAGAAAGCGTCCCCTCTTCTTCCTTTTCCATAAGGATTGGCATAAAATGTTCCACCTCTGACATGTCCACATCTCCACGGTAATTCCGACAGATCAGAACCTATACAGAAAGCAACCAAATCCCTTTTTCTCTTCCATAAGGACGTTCTCATGCAAGACACAAAAATGCGTGAAAGGCCGCTGTAAAATCATCCAGCTTCCCTCGAGCCTCACTCACTGCATTTACACAATGCTGAAATACTTTGCCGATCAGAACGAATACCAGCATTTAAGTGCAAAGTCATGTTTTCCAGACTTATCCTTCCCCTATTCCTGTTCGCACTCTCACAACGATTTTAGGAGAGGAAAACAAACTGCTCTGAGGCAAAGCAGCTACAACAGCGGCAGAGATGAATTACCGGGGATGCCGCCTCACCTCGCCCTACCGGCGAGGGGCTCCAGGCCACACTGCCCTGTGCCCGCCCAGGGGGAAGCGGAACCCCCGCAGCCCCCGCAGCCTTCCCGGGGCAGCGGAACCCCCGCTCGGCTCCGGGCCTCACCTTCCCCTTCAGGTCCAGCACATAGACGGCGCTGGCCGACATCGCCCCGGCCGGGCCGCGTCCCGCCCGCCTTCCGCTTCCCCTTCCGCGGGAAGTGACGGCACGGCCGCGCCCGGCTGCGCGCAGCGATCCGCGCCGTGCGGCGGAAGGGCACCATGAGGGAACAGCTTCGTTAAGTAGTCCCGGCGTGTTTTCCCCCGGGACTGTCCCGGTGGCGCTGACACGGCCCCGCGGCTGTCCCGGCCCGCCCAGGCTGAGGTGGGGCCCGGACACACGCTGAGCACCAGGGCTCGGAACCTCATTCGGATTTAAGCGGCGCCTTACGAGTTCGATCATTATGTATATCATCCCTCAGAGGGGTAAAAATCAAACTCCACACTCCCCGTTTCATGCGTGTATCAGCACCAAAAAAAGGGATGAAAGCAGCGTTTTAATAAATTAAATAGAATTTACAAGTTGCAGCAGACCCCTCAGAGAGAGCTCAAGATGGAAATGATACCATACCATTGATACCCAAGATAGAAATGATACTGTTGATACTCAAGATAGAAATGACACTGTTTTCCACAAAAATCAGATTCAGCACCCGGTACACAGCAAGTCAGTAATTACACACTCGACAGACATGCTGATTATTTATTTCAGAGTTGCACAAGCCTGGATGCTCGGTGGGATCCCAGAAATCCAGCACATCAGCTATGAAAACTTGGACATCACTCAGAGCTTGTTGGCTGCTCTCTATTCCATGGATTAAACCTCCCTTCTTGCTGGTTAGGCTTGAAAGTATACAAAGATCAAATATCAAGGAATATCCTTTCGTAAAACAATTTTACATAGTTCACATTTTGCAGCGTGGCCTCTGACAGAACTTGATAGATAGTACTTATACAATTCACATAATAGAGAAACTTAAATAATGTGAGCCTGTCAGACACTTCACCTCAAAGAGGGAGAACTGTTAGAACCAAAGACATAAAGGAATGTTTTCCATCTGGCTCACAGCAATTAGTTTTGGCCTTAATCTCACTATAAATATTAAGAAAAACCAGCCCTCTGCATCAACATAAACCAGAGCTCCTCAGCCCAGAGGAGACACTGCTGCATGTTTGGTTTTAAAAAACAAGTCTATAAAATAAGACAGTATAAAGTCATAAAAGCTCAGAAGATGTATTCGACAATATGGAGAAAAGACAGGTTTACATGGCAACCCTGCTTGATACAAACAAAACACAACTCCAGCTCCAGAGCCATGAAAAGCAGCCTGGTCATTTAGTCCAGCTGACTTTGGGAATGTCGTAATGCTCAGTCAGAGTATCCAAGTGCCTGTTGAAGTCCTGCGGGAGGAAAAGAGACAGAAAACGGGTGCTGACATTACCAAGCTGAACCACAACCTCCCCTGCGTCCCGGCTTGTGTTTGACAAGGCGGAACAGCTCCTTCAGCCCAACAATAAACACGCTGGCCTGAGGAGCTCGGGATGGTTTTGCTCACCTCCACTCTCTGCTTGTGGGTTTTCGATGCTTTCTTCAGGATCCGCTCCATTTGCTGTAGGAAACACAGAAGGGCCGGTTACTCGCAGCCCCCTCAGCGGCCTCACCCCGGGGCTCACGGGGGTTTTTAAAGCCTTACCCGCTTCTCCTGCATCTTCTCGTAGGCCACCTGCGCCGGGGTCCGCTTGTCCAGCCCGCGCTTCTTCTCCTCCTCCTGCTTCTTGCTGCTCACGATCTGCTCCAGGATCTGGGCCTTGTCCTTCGCCTTCTTCT